ATAATCATAAATCAAACGTTCACTTTTTAATACTTGGTTGCAAATCCTTTGCAGTCAATTACAGCCTGAAGTCTGGAATGCATAGACATCACCAGACGCTGGGTTTCATCCCTGGTGATGCTCTGCCAGGCCTCTACTGCAACTGTCTTCAGTTCCTGCTTGTTCTTGGGGCATTTTCCCTTCAGTTTTGTCTTCAGCAAGTGAAATGCATGCTCAATCGGATTCAGGTCAGGTGATTGACTTGGCCATTGCATAACATTCCACTTCTTTCCCTTAAAAAACTCTTTGGTTGCTTTTGCAGTATGCTTTGGGTCATTGTCCATCTGCACTGTGAAGCGGCGTCCAATGAGTTCTGAAGCATTTGGCTGAATATGAGCAGATAATATTGCCCAAAACACTTCAAAATTCATCCTGCTGCTTTTGTCAGCAGTCACATCATCAATAAATACAAGAGAACCAGTTCCATTGACAGCCATACATGCCCACGCCATGACACTACCACCACCATGCTTCACTGATGAGGTGGTATGCTTAGGATCATGAGCAGTTCCTTTCCTTCTCCATACTCTTCTCTTCCCATCACTCTGGTACAAGTTGATCTTGGTCTCATCTGTCCATAGGATGTTGTTCCAGAACTGTGAAGGCTTTTTTAGATGTCGTTTGGCAAACTCTAATCTGGCCTTCCTTTTTTTGAGGCTCAACAATGGTTTACATCTTGTGGTGAACCCTCTGTATTCACTCTGGTGAAGTCTTCTCTTGATTGTTGACTTTGACACACATACACCTACCTCCTGGAGAGTGTTCTTGATCTGGCCAACTGTTGTGAAGGGTGTTTTTTTCACCAGGGAAAGAACTCTTCGGTCATCCACCACAGTTGTTTTCCGTGGTCTTCCGGGCCTTTTGGTGTTGCTGAGCTCACCGGTGCGTTCCTTCTTTTTAAGAATGTTGCAAACAGTTGTTTTGGCCACGCCTAATGTTTTTGCTATCTCTCTGATGGGTTTGTTTTTTCAGCCTAATGATGGCTTGCTTCACTGATAGTGACAGCTCTTTGGATCTCATCTTGAGAGTTGACAGCAACAGATTCCAAATGCAAATAGAACACTTGAAATGAACTCTGGACCTTATATCTGCTCATTGTAATTGGGATAATGAGGGGATAACACACACCTGGCCATGGAACAGCTGAGAAGCCAATTGTCCCATTACTTTTGGTCCCTTAAGAAGTGGGAGGCACATATGCAAACTGTTGTAATTCCTACACCGTTCACCTGATTTGGATGTAAATACCCTCAAATTAAAGCTGACAGTCTGCAGTTAAAGCACATCTTGTTTGTTTCATTTCAAATCCATTGTGGTGGTGTATAGAGCCAAAAATGTTAGAATTGTGTCGATGTCCCAATATTTATGGACCTGACTGTATATTTTTTATCATTTTCCAAAAACTTGTGGTAAAAAAAAAAATTCTTCCTTTGCCTCAACATACCTCTCAGCAAATAGTTTGGGGTGTCTACTTTCCAAAAAGTGATCATTTTGGTGGGTGGGGGCATTTTATGCCCAGCATTAGAAGTTTATGCCACAGATCACTCACTCTTCTAACCACCTGAAGACCAAGCCTTTTCTGACAATTTTTGTCAACAAGAAAAAAATCTTTATTTTTTTCTAGGAAATTACTTTACACCACCAAACATTATATATATTTTTTAAATCAGACACCCTAGTGAATAAAATGGTGGATGCTCCAATATTTTTTATGTCACATAGTACTCGCGCAGAGATTTTTCAAACGCAATTTTTTTTTAAAAAAATACACTTTTTTTACTTTTAATGCACAAACACACAATATATTGGCAAATTATTTGGTAAAATATAAAAGATTATGATATGCCAAGTAAATAGATACCAAACATGACATGCTTTAAAAATGTGCACGTCCCGTGCAATGGCGAAAAAAAACTGCAAATATTTTTAATATCCATAGGAAATGCTTTAAAAGCCTTTACAAGCTATCATTTTATAACTATAGAGGAGGTCTAGTGCTAGAATTACTGCCCTTGATCTGACATTTGTGGCGATACCTCACATGTATGGTGCAACCGCTGTTTACATACTGGCATGGGGTCAACACTCTCGAGCGGGGGTGAGGGTGCTTTTTTTTTAGTTGTTTTGATTTTTTAAATTATTTTTATACTGTCCCTTTCAATTTTTTTAATCACTTTTAATACTATCACAGGGAATGCAGATATCCCCTGTAACTTGGGCATTGACAGATATTCTTTTTTGAGAAATCTGGGGTCTATCAGACTCTAGATATCTTCTCTGCCCTTACATTATCTAATCTCACCAAGATCGGTGTGATCAGATGCTTTCCCAATTTACAAATGGCGCTGTTTATATCCTGCGAAACTGAAGTGATGAAATGCTCGTAGCTTTCGATTTTTTAGACTATAGAAATGATTGGCGCCATTCCAGTCTCCAATCAGCTCTATGGTCAGCTGGCAGAAACACCGTCTGCATTCTCAGGTTCCCCCGATGGCACGGAACTGCCTGAGAAGGCAGCGGGGGAGGGGGGACATCTTCTCCTGCTGCTTGTAAAAGCAGCTGCAGGCATCATCCTGGTATAACCACTCAAAGCCCAGTGATGTACCAGTACGTCGCTGGCCCTTGTTGGGTATATATGCTAAGTTCTTTTTGTTCTCATGCAGCCTGTGGGCTGAATGAAAAAAAGAGAAGAAATATCTGCCAGAAAAAGTGTGTGGCATGCCCACCATTAGAATATACCGCCCTGCATCCACCCACTTCTAATGGTGGGCACACATGAATTTTTTTTAAATATATACCAAAGCATAGGGGCCATCCACCCACTGGCCACCCCAGGCCCCCATGCTTCAGCATATACGCTATTTTTAATCTTACCCAACAGCGCTGCACACATCTACTTATGTATATTCTGAGAGCAAGACCCCCTGTTGCTGTCAGAATAAACAATTTGGTGCTGCAGCTGAATGGCATTCCTGCAAAGAAATCAGCAATGGTTAACAATAAAACAGTAACTCAATAACAACTTTTATATTAAAATCTGTGCAAAAAAATTTAAAATATATATACCAAAGCATAGGAGCAATCCACCCACTGGCCACCCCAGGCCCCCATGCTTTGGCATATATGCTCTTTTTTTAACTGCGGATAAAAAAAATCTTATCCAACAGCATTGCACACACCTACTTATGTATATTCTAAGAGCAAGACCCTGCTGCTGTCAGAATAAACAGGTCAGTGCTGCAGATGAATGGCATTCCTGCAAAGAAAACAGCAATAGTTAAGAATAAAACAGTAACAATAAAACAGTAAAATCGTAACATTAGAACAGTAACAACAATGATAACAACAAAAAAAACTATAACTATTTTTGTTTTTTAAAATTAAAATTTTTTTTTGTACTTGTACTTTTTATTTTTTTTATGTTTTTTTTACTTTTTTTTCTTAACTTGAACTTAACCAGATTGTAGAGTCTCTCAACATGCGATAGCCAGTTTCCTGACTACCTAACATCTTTTGAGACCCTGTGAAAATATGTGCCCTGAACTGTGCCGTGCTGTACCCCATACTAATACTCCACTAGTGTGTGGTAGCAACGGAAGCAGTCTTTGAGGCAGAGACCAGGTTGGCCAGGACAGGAGGGACAAAAAAAGTGGGTGTCACGCCTAATTTTAAGTCTGTTACAGACACAACATCTTTTTTGGGGTGTCCTTTTGGGTTGGGGTACCAGGAATGGCATTGGGAAAATGCCTCTCATGCAGCTGGCTAACTGCATCTGGGTTGGGGCTTTGGGCCACAGCACCTTCTGGATACAAAAGGGCCATGATGATCTCTTCATGGAATTTTAGGAAGGATCCACTTCATCCAGTTGCTTTGCAAAGCACAAAAGCATTATAAAGTCCCAATTGACTCCCCATGTAGTCTGGGTATCCGGGGAACTCCACGTGACTATCTTTTCCCTCATACATCCGAAACTTAGATATATAGCCTGTTGCCCTCTCACAGGTTTTATACATCTTGACCCATATGTCAGGGCTCCCAGGAGTGACCAGAGGTGTGTGACTGACGCAGGGAAACGCAGACTTCAGATATGTGATAAACAATATAATTTATTAACACTAACAATACAAACATAAACGCAGTGCAATACTAAACATAATACAGTGCAAACAAACCAAACCAACCACCCACAGATAACAGTACATACAAGCAAGCGTCGTCAGGCAGGCCGGGTCAATATCAATTGGGCAGGTAGGTACAGGGGGAGCAAGCAGAGATTGGTCGGGGTCACAGGCCAGGTTCAGCAGGTAGCAAGCAGCGTAGTACAGAGGGTCAGGCAGAGGGATGGTCAGGGTCACAAGCCAGGGATCAGAACAGGTAGCAAGCAGCGTAGTACAGAGGGTCAGGCAGAGGGATGGTCAGACAAGCCAGGAATCAGAGCAGGGTCAGCAGAGAATCAGACAGGAACAGAGAGCAGGAACAGGATACAGGGCCCAAGAGAAACACAACACCAAGGCAGAGTCTGCAAGTCTGGCCATCCCTTAAATACCCCAGCATAATCAGTTCCAGGTGTTAGCTGGTTGCAAAGTTGAGTCTCTGATTGCTGGGAGCACCCGCTGGCCAGCCCTGGTACTGCAGATCAAAAGGCAGGTGAGTCCCCACCATTGCTGGCTAGTCCATTCCTGACAGTACCCCCCCCTCAAGGAGCGGCCTCAGGACGCTCCAAACAGTCCTAGCTGGGCAAAATGTTCCACCGCCCGGGTCTGGTAACTGGCGGGATATCAAAGACTGGCACACCGGGCAGGACTCCGGGCAGCGGCACACCGGGCAGGACTCCGGGCAGCGGCACACCGGGCAGGGGCACACCGGGCAGAGGCACATTGGGCAAAGGCACACCGGGCAGAGGCACATCGGGCAGGACTCCGGGCAGAGGCACATCGGGCTGGACTCCGGGCAGAGGCACATCGGGCTGGACTCTGGGCAGAGGCACATCGGGCTGGACTCCGGGCAGAGGCACATCGGGCTGGACTCCGGGCAGAGGCACATCGGGCAGGACTCCGGGCAGAGGCACATCGGGCAGGACTCCGGGCAGAGGCACATCGGGCAGGACTCCGGGCAGAGGCACATCGGGCAGGACTCCGGGCAGAGGCACATCGGGCCGGACTCGGGCAGAGGCACATCGGATTACCAGGCGAAGCAGCAGGCAGCGGGCCACCAGGCGAAGCAGCAGGCAGCGGGCCACCAGGCGGAGCAGCAGGCACCGGACCCCCGGGCGGGGCGGCAGGCACCGGGCCCCCGGGCGGGGCGGCAGGCACCGGGCCCCCGGGCGGAGCGGCAGGCACCGGGCCCCCGGGCGGAGCGAAAGGGGTCGGGCCCCCAGGCGGGGCGACAGGCGTCGGGCCCCCAGGCGGGGTGACAGGCGTCGGGCCCCCAGGCGGGGCGACAGGCATCGGGCCCCAGGAGGGGCGACAGGCATCGGGCCCCCAGGCGGGGCGACAGGCGTCGGGCCCCCAGGAGGGGCGACAGGCATCGGGCCCCCAGGCGGGGCGACAGGCATCGGGCCCCCAGGCGGAGCGACAGGCATCGGGCCCCCAGGCGGAGCGACAGGTCTCGGGCCCTCAAGCGGAGGCGGGCGCCGGGACCCCCAGGTGGAGCGACAGGTCTCGGGTCCTCAGGCGGAGCGGCGGGCGCCAGACCCCCAGGTGGAGCGACAGGTCTCGGGCCCTCAGGCGGAGCGGCGGGCGCCAGACCCCCAGGCGGAGCGCGGGTCTCGGGCCCCCAGGCGGAGCGACAGGTCTCGGGCCCTCAGGCGGAGCGGCGGGCGCCGGACCCCCAGATGGAGCGACAGGTCTCGGGCCCTCAGGCGGAGCGGCGGGAGCCGGACCCCCAGGTGGAGCGACAGGTCTCAGGCCCTCAGGCGGAGCGGCGGGCGCCGGACCCCCAGGTGGAGCGACAGGTCTCGGGCCCTCAGGCGGAGCGGCGGGCGCCGGACCCCCAGGTGGAGCGACAGGTCTCGGGCCCCCAGGCGGAGCGACAGGTCTCGGGCCCTCAGGCGGAGTAGCGAGTAGGCGCCGGACCCCCAGATGGAGCGACAGGTCTCGGGCCCTCAGGCGGAGCGGCGGGCGCCGGACCCCCAGGTGGAGCGACAGGTCTCGGGCCCCCAGGCGGAGCGACAGGTCTCGGGCCCTCAGGCGGAGCGGCGGGCGCCGGACCCCCAGGTGGAGCGACAGGTCTCGGGCCCTCAGGCGGAGCGGCGGGCGCCGGACCCCCAGGTGGAGCGACAGGTCTCGAGCCCCCAGGCGAAGCGGCGGGCACCGAGTCACCAGGCACGACAGTGGGCTCCGAGTCAACTGGCATGACCGCTGGCACTGGGTCAGACATTGGATCGTCTGGCTGGACAGCGGGCATCGGGTCACCAGGCATCAGGTCATTTGGCTCGACAGCGGGCACCGCGTCATCTGGCAAGGCAGTGGGCTCCGAGTCAACTGGTATGACCGCGGGCACTGGGTCAGACATTGGATCGTCTGGCTGGACAGCGGGCATCGGGTCACCAGGCATCAGGTCATTTGGCTCGACAGCGGGCACCGCGTCATCTGGCAAGGCAGTGGGCTCCGAGTCAACTGGTATGACCGCGGGCACTGGGTCAGACATTGGATCGTCTGACTGGACAGCGGGCATCGGGTCACCAGGCATCAAGTCATTTGGCTCGACAGCGGGCACTGCGTCATCTGGCAAGGCAGTGGGCTCCGAGTCAACAGGCACGACAGTGGGCTCTGAGTCAATTGGCACGACAGCGGGCACCGGGTCATCAGGTATTGGATCGTCTGGCTCGACAGCGGGCATCGGGTCACCAGGTATGACAGCGGGCACTGGGTCACCAGGCATCAGGTCATCTGGCTCGCCAGCGGGCACCGCGTCATCTGGCAAGGCAGTGGGCACCGAGTCACCAGGTACGACAGCGGGCTCTGAGTCAATTGGCACGACAGCGGGCACCGGGTCATCAGGTACCGGATTGTCTGGCTCGACCGCGGGTATCGGGTCACCAGGTATGACAGCGGGCACCAGGTCATCAGGTACCGGATTGTCTGGCTCGGCAGCGGGCATCAGGTCACCAGGCCTAATAGGATCGTCAGGCTGGATCAGTTCATCATGCTGGGTAGAGGCATCAGGCTGAATGCAGGCATCCGGCTGAATGCAGGCATCAGGCTGAGTAGAGGCCTCAGGCTGAGTAGAGGCTTCAGGCTGAGTAGAGGCTTCAGGCTGAGTAGGGGGCTTCAGGCCGAGTAGGGGCTTCAGGCCGAGTAGAGGCTTCAGGCCGAGTAGAGGCATCAGGCCGAGTAGAGGCATCATGCTGAGTAGAGGCTTCAGGCTGAACCACGGAAGGCAGGTTCACGGGTTTGGATACTGGCAGGATGGTACTGGTTGGAAAGAATTTTCGCTTTTTTCTGGTTTTAACTACTGGAGCACTGCAAGTAAACGCAGGTCTGCAAATGAATGGAGCAGCTGGAGACAGAGAAGAGCTGGAGGATGGAACAGAGGAAGGAACAGTCGCTACAGAGGGCTTTTTTACAGGGTTAAAGGCAGGATAGGTGCAGCGAGTGGCAACAGGGTACTGACATGCAGTAGATAGCAGGGCAGGAGGAGCTGTTGGGAATGCAGGAATAGAGCTTTGAGGAAATAGATTAGAAGCAGGACTGGGTCTTTGTAAGCTGACTGAGGCTGGGTGCAACAAGTCTGTCCATGTCTGCAGTATGGGTTGAACAAAGCTCAGCTTACACAAAGCCTGTCTGACCAAAGACTGCACTGCGTTTATACAATCTCTTAGTACCTGTGGTGAACATGTGGAATAACGCTCCAGAAAGTAACTCACATCATCCTCTAATAACCACACCAGGGACTCTACCTGGTCTGCACTAAATGGTGGCAAAAATTCATCCCTGCATTCGGGGGAACCAGATGAAACCAACTCAGCACAAACCTCAATCAATGGCTGCACCATAGAGAAATCTGTGCCCTGATCTACTAGAACATGAGCGAGCCGTATACATTCTAGCAGTTCATCCCTGGGATACTCCTTCAGTTTCATAAGCATACTCCCTGTCATCAAACACTAGCAGATATAAATACGCAACCTCATCCAGATCCATCCTTCCCATCAACAAACCAAGATGGCTTCCCTGTGCAGCCACTTCTGGTCAGGATTGGCCTTGGTGTAATGTCAGGGCTCCCAGGAGTGACCAGAGGTGTGTGACTGACGCAGGGAAACGCAGACTTCAGATATGTGATAAACAATATAATTTATTAACACTAACAATACAAACATAAACGCAGTGCAATACTAAACATAATACAGTGCAAACAAACCAAACCAACCACCCACAGATAACAGTACATACAAGCAAGCGTCGTCAGGCAGGCCGGGTCAATATCAATTGGGCAGGTAGGTACAGGGGGAGCAAGCGGAGATTGGTCGGGGTCACAGGCCAGGTTCAGCAGGTAGCAAGCAGCGTAGTACAGAGGGTCAGGCAGAGGGATGGTCAGGGTCACAAGCCAGGGATCAGAACAGGTAGCAAGCAGCGTAGTACAGAGGGTCAGGCAGAGGGATGGTCAGACAAGCCAGGGATCAGAGCAGGGTCAGCAGAGAATCAGACAGGAACAGAGAGCAGGAACAGGATACAGGGCCCAAGAGAAACACAACACCAAGGCAGAGTCTGCAAGTCTGGCCATCCCTTAAATACCCCAGCATAATCAGTTCCAGGTGTTAGCTGGTTGCAAAGTTGAGTCTCTGATTGCTGGGAGCACCCGCTGGCCAGCCCTGGTACTGCAGATCAAAAGGCAGGTGAGTCCCCACCATTGCTGGCTAGTCCATTCCTGACACCATATCTGGCACAGTGGTGAGGAGAGAAATTAATGAGGGAATCATCAATGCAGATGTATTGCTGGGGAGTATAGACATCTGCAAATTTTTGGTTAAGGTGATTTACGAGAGGCCGAATTTTGTAAAGCCAGTCAAATTCAGGGGGAGTAAGCATAGGGGCTAAAAGCAGGTGCTGGCAGGTGCCAGGACTGATCCCGCTGACGCTGCATTTTTGGGGACACTATACTAATGTGAACGCTGGTATAGTGCTGATCTGATCAAAGATATTGATCCGTTCAGACACTATACTAGAAATGCAGGTTTATTGTGTATGTGAGTGTGTTCCTGTCAATCAAGGGGTTAATGTGATGACTGGTGTAATGACAGGCAACATGACACTATCTGGGAGGGACGCTAACTGACGCTAACGCTACCTGAAGTAGCAGACGACACTAATACAGTGATCAGCAAAAAAGCTGTACACTGTACTAATGACACTGGTGACAGAGCAGTGAAGAGGTTAACTGGGGGGGCGATCAAGGGGTTAAATGTGTCCTAAAATGTGTTCTAACTGTAAAACTGTGCTGCTTGTACTAACTGTGTCTTCTTTTCTATCTCTCTGGGACGGAATGTGCCCAGAGAAAAAAGATGTTATCATTTCCTGTATCTGTGTAAGTGTAAACACAGGTACAGGAAGATCCCCGATAGGGCAAGGCTCAATCATCCAATTTAGGCTGAACATCTCTGTTCTAAATCGGATGATTGATCCCTTGGAGATCAAATCACGGCACCCGAAGGTCAGCGAGGGTGCATGCGTGCCTCCCCCAGCCCGTGATCACTGCGGGAGCGTGAATCAAGTATATATACATGATTTTGTGCACTCGTGCCACCTCGTAGCAGTATTTCTGCTATAGGGAGGTTGGGAAGCGGTTAAATAAATGCTGTAAGTAGGGTTAGTTAGGCAGTAGTAGTTAGATTTGGGGGTATAGACTGTGTTGTCTTCCCAAAAATGATTTATGGTTTCACTTAATTATATGTGTACCTGGGTCTTGGCAGGTGCAGTTAGCTTGCCCCCCACTAGATGGAGTTCTGTTGCACATCCTGGTATGGTAAAGGAAAAGTTATAAGCAGGTGTTATCTCCCCTTGTAGAGAAATTTCTCCCCTAGTGATGTAATAGGTGGAGTTAGTGCCCATATAAATGCCAGCTGTGGGTGGGATGCAGTCAGTTTAGTGTAGTTTTAGTAGAGTATGGGAACAGGACAATCTAGAGCTGCAAAGATGTAATCCTGTACTGAGCTCAAATTGAGGGCTATACGTGGGGCTAGATTCCTAGGAGAAATTGTATAGATTGTGTGAGAACAGTTGTAGTTGTCTCGTCTACCTCTGATCTTCTTCTGCAGGTCCTGTAGCATAGTACATATGGCCTGAGATGGCTTGACAGAATCTTCTAAATATGAGTGAAAGTGAAGCCTAGGAATAGATATCATGAAGGAGTATGCCCAGCAAGGCAGAGCTATAGACGTGACATTGGGAAAAGACTTTGCAGTATATTAACTGAAGCACCTTGTTCTCCAAACCCTCAGCTGTGGGTCCTGTGACTCAGTGAGGGAAGCCTAGAGCTGCGGACTTAGTATACGGAGGGAAGTGGTCCCAATTCTGTGGTGTTCTTAAGGAGAAAGAGAAGTTGGCTTAACTAAAAGATGTATATTTGTGCTCTGCACTGAAATTATTTCTACAGAATGTCAAGCCTTGCATGTTGTGTTCCATGTGATATGTAACAGGAAGCTTTGTGAAGATGTGAAGTTGCGGTAAAATACCAAAAGTGAAATAGGTGTGTGGACAATCCTTTATTAATAAAGCTTCTGGTTGTGAGCGGGCCTCTATACAGGAGTATGACAAACATGGCAGAGAGTTTAGCTCAGCAAGAGATGGGTTGTTGTCCTATCTGAGAAGAAGCAGGGCAGGGACTTGTATAATTTGTTGAGCGGGGATTTGCTTAGTTAACACCTGCTCAATCAGAGGTCCCCTACATGGGGGCTGCAAAATGTCTTCATTATATTATCACAATGTGCTTACAGTCTAGTAGCCCCATGCAGTTACTTTATTTTTCCTCTCAATCAAACTCAGTTCAGATTGGTTGAAATCAATACACTCTTTATTTGGCTTTTCCTGTTGTTTTAGCAGCCCATCAGCCTGGGATACAGATAGATGCCAGAGGGAACAACACATTTTCATGTGAAATGCCCTCATGAAAACACAGGAACAGCAAGTTGATTAAAAAAAAAAAGTACCTTGCATGAAATAATACTGGAAATGAAAGCTTTAAAATCATAGCTTTTAAAAAGTACCTGCTTATCATCTCTTTATATATCCTTTTGGTGAGTGTCACCTTGCTTTGACAGAGTACAGTATGGCTTGTAATTGTAACGGTTGCATTGCTGTGGTTTCTTGCTGCTAACCTGAATTCTTGTCTGTTTTGACCTTCCTTTTGATTGGGATTTGGAGTGACCTTTGGTTACGTACTTCAGCTACTTTGATGTGGGCTCTTTGCCTGACTCTGTTTCAGACTATTGCTTCACATTGCTAGTCTCAGCCTTGCTCAGTTTTTAGAATAAACTACAGACCATGTCATTAAAATTAAAGATAAAGTGTATCTCAAGCCAAATGTTTTTTTTTTTTATAA